TGTTTTTGTGCGCCCTTTGGTACCCTTTTATCAGTTTCAAGTGAAAGCTTACTTAGAGGCACTATTAGGAAGAAGAGGAAGGAAGAAAGGAAGAAAAACTACATATTAGCAGCAACAATCATACTATCGGTTATCTTAATGACCTCTATAATCCTGTAAGAAGTGTAGCATAACATATACATCATATTTCATGGACAATTAAACATCCCTCGTATCTTTCTTTGCATTTCCTACTGACTTTTTAAGTCGAAAAGCCTATCCAACCCGAAAGATCAAGCACAAACATAGAGCGGGATGTTGGCATGCGGCCAACTTTCGAATTCTACCGTAATTCCCTGAATTTCACGTATTGGCTCCACCCCTTTCACTCCTTTGAAATTTTGCAAGACTTCTCTTTCTTCTCCGGAAATTCGTAGTTTTGTTTTTTCTCTTGTGTAGATTTGTTTACAATTTTTGGTATATGCGGATTGTGTTGTTCATCAGCTGCCCTACTATCTGGTCACGGCTGTGCGAATGTTGAATGTTTTATGTTGACGTACCTTTTGGGTTTTGTTTTGGACGAATTTAGCAATTGTTGGACCGATTCTGCTCATTGATTTTGATTTACACCTTTTATGTTATTGGTGTCATGTTGAAAAAGGTTACGTTTCTTATATGGTGTTCTTCCTTCATTCCTATATCACGCTTCCTGCCTTTTCTATCCGTTGCCTTTGTGGTTTGATCTCGTTTGCTGAAATTTTCGTTATTGAGGTTGGTGGAAAATGCCACGAAAGGACAGCGAAAGCAGTTCGTCGACTCACGAAGAATCGCACCGTGAGGACGAATCGCTATCAAGCGATGTTGTTGTCAACAAGTATCAAATGGCTGCCCAGATGGCTAATGAAATCCTCAGGGTATGCGTTAACGTTCGCATACCTTTCATTTTTTAAACTTTTTTTGTTACCTTAGCATTTTCAATTTCTTCTTTACTTCCAGAAACTGATCTCAGAGGTGAAGGAGGGTGTAGAAGTTAGCACTCTTTGCACGATGGGTGATAACTTAATTCAAGAGAAGACATCGAAGGTTTTTGTCAAAGAAAAGGATGTAACCAAGGTAAAATATTTTTTAATTTTAGTTTTTGATAGTTCCTTGCCTTTGAATTTCTGAGGTCATCTTTAGGGTATTGCTATGCCAACATGCATCTCTGTGGATCACTGTATCTGCCATTATTCACCTTTACGGTCAGATCCACCTGTAGTTTTGAAAAACGGACAGATGGTGAAGGTGTGTTGCTATAAATATAATTTAAACATAAAATTTCTTCGCGCTTCGGAAGTTATCATCAATTCAGCCCAATATGACAGGATAGCATGCGAGATTCCCTTAGAATGAAAGTGGGAGAAAATTGGGCAGAAGGTTAAAAGATATAAATCACCAATGTGCTCAAAATAAACTTGTTAGAATTGATTCGGCATATGTCGTTCGTCTTGTTCTCTCTAGCTTTTTCATAGATTCATTTGTTCAATAACTAGGATTTTTCTAATTTTTCTTATATATTGGGTTGGAAGTACGAAGTTTATGTAGCTTTTAGAAATGAACGGCAAAAATCTCAAATAATTTTGGATTGTATTGCTGATGTATTTTGCAAGTTAACTCTTTAGAAGCGTTCAAAATTGTGACCTTGCTAATCCCTAACTTATCGCTTAGTAATTAGAAATGTTTTCTTCTATCTGCTGGTATTCTTGAATCAATGAATACATATTATCGTCGGTGCTATCGTGATGGTTTTTAGATCGACCTAGGAGTTCATATTGACGGTTATATCGCTACAGCAGCTCACACTGTTGTTGTCGGTGCCAGCCCTGTAAGTGCAGACTTGCGTCATTTTTTATTTTACTTTTGTTTGTCAAATTTTTTTCCGTACGCTTCACTTTAATCCCATCTACCAGTCCTCAAATATTCGATTTCTTTTTTTTTAGACGAACAAAATCACGGGTAAGCAGGCTGCCCTGCTGAAAGCTACCTACGAAGCTATGGAAGTTGCAATCCGAATGCTTCAGCCAGGCAATAAAAATATGGATATCACTGCTGCTATCGATAAGGTATTCATCATGTCAATCTCTGACCCTTTGCTATATGCCACTTTTTGCTAATGAGGTAAAAGCCTATTAATATTTATATGAGTATGCGTGAGAGTGCACCAGCAAGTATAATAGACCTTGAGTTGCTACATATGTCATACACAAAAGGATCGTTCTTGCATTCTTGCAAGTACATGTTTTGTTCAGACCTCTGCTTCCTACTCCATGCTTCCTACATGACCATGTGTGAAGCAGTCTCTATATTTCTTGTGGGAATCCATGTGCCTATAGTTAAAAAGACTCTAATAACTTGTCTATTTTTCCTACATGAGCATGTGTGAGGCAGTTTCTTATTTCTAGTGGGAATCCGTGTGACTATAGTTGAAAGACGTAAATGATTTGGAGTAGGAAGCAGAGGTTTGAACACAACTAGAAAGGTTTTTTTTAATCAGCTTGGTGCTCTGCCTAGCTTAAACATTCAGTAGCAGTCATGCATGAATTTGGATAAAATTGCTTGATTAAACTCCAGATTGTTAACTGGTAGTAACATACATTCCCTCATCCTGCAAATCACTTGCTTTAACTACTTTTAACCGTTTTTAGAGCTTCTAGTTTTTCAGAGCAGTGTTTTTTGTGATCATATAACAATCTAAAATTCTTTTTTTCCCAGAACTATCTCTTAAACAGCACATTTGAATGCTTCTCAAACGTCATTTTTACGATAAATGATCTAAGGTTGCCGCTGAATATGGAGTTACCCCCATCGAAAACATGGTTTCTCATCAGTTGCAAAGAGATCAGATAGACGGAGAAAAGCAGATAATACAAAATCCCGGTGAGAAGCAACGAAGTGAGATGGAAAAATGCACTATTGACAAGCACGAGGCCTATGCCATAGATGTGTTGTTCTCTACTGGAAAAGGCAAGTCCTCGTTTCAAAAGTTTTTTTGACAGAATTGTTACAAATTGTTACCTATGATAATTTCTATGTATTTTTTAGGGAAGTCTAAAGATATGGATACTCGCACAACCGTATACAAGAGAAATGAAGACATTCAGTACTCGCTGAGGTTGAAAGCTGCCAGAGCATTAATGAAGGATGTTAAAGATAAGGTAGCGCATGTTCTCTTGCATCATTTTCTTTTTGTACCATTTTTTT